GGAGGAGGAGGGCACAGGTGGAGGAGGAGGAGGGCACAGGTGGAGGAGGAGGAGGGCACAGGTGGAGGAGGAGGAGGGCACAGGTGGAGGAGGAGGAGGGCACAGGTGGAGGAGGAGGAGGGCACAGGTGGAGGAGGAGGAGGGCACAGGTGGAGGAGGAGGAGGGCACAGGTGGAGGAGGAGGAGGGCACAGGTGGAGGAGGAGGAGGGCACAGGTGGAGGAGGAGGAGGGCACAGGTGGAGGAGGAGGAGGGCACAGGTGGAGGAGGAGGAGGGCACAGGTGGAGGAGGAGGAGGGCACAGGTGGAGGAGGAGGAGGGCACAGGTGGAGGAGGAGGAGGGCACAGGTGGAGGAGGAGGAGGGCACAGGTGGAGGAGGAGGAGGGCACAGGTGGAGGAGGAGGAGGGCACAGGTGGAGGAGGAGGAGGGCACAGGTGGAGGAGGAGGAGGGCACAGGTGGAGGAGGAGGAGGGCACAGGTGGAGGAGGAGGAGGGCACAGGTGGAGGAGGAGGAGGGCACAGGTGGAGGAGGAGGAGGGCACAGGTGGAGGAGGAGGGCACAGGTGGAGGAGGAGGACACAGGTGGTGGGTCCCCATGAGCCCGAGGGGAGCAGCCCCTTTCTTGTCCTCTGTGTTTATGTGCAGAACGTGGCTCATGGTTTAAGAGCTTCCTACAGGCCCCCCAGGACGGCCCTGTCTGTCCAAAAGCTGTCCTTGTCATCGTTGTTGGAGGTGGGGCTCCTCTTACCGGGTAACAGCCAGATGCAGAGGGGCCACACTCACTCAGCCTCACCGGAGGCCTGGCCGGCGTGGGGGGAGATTGTAGTTGAGGCTGTTTTTAGCTGGTAGGCTCCTCCCCCTGCCAGCACCAAACATAAGAAGTTTTCACTGTGTTTTCCTGAGAAACAGGATCATAAGAAGCCTTACTGAATTTAGCTCATCGCGCAGCCCGGGATGGTGGTGTGAATGTATGGAGAATGATGTATTGACTCATAGTAAGTGCTCAATTAACACTAAATTAACTTTTTTGCCATTTGTGTTTTTTCTGTGTTGCCACTCCCGAACCCCTGGTAACCATATCGAGGGGAGGCGGGGCCGGTGAAATCATGTGCCTCTGAGGCCTGCACAGGGTGGTGAGCTGGCGGAGAGGAGTTCCTGGAGAACCACTGAAAGTCAGTGTGAGGGGAGGCTCCCATTGTCTTTTCTTATTGGGTGGCCTCACCCACTTCTCAAAACATCTTTCACAGCCCTTTAGATTTCCAGAGCGCCCTCACGTGCGGTTTTATTTTATCCTGAAAACCACAGGAATGAACTAGGGTTCACGTTGCCAGATAAGGAGCCTGTTTGCAGATAAGGAGCCTGAGGACAGGAGGTCTGGCTTATCTGCCAGGGTTGGGAGGCTGGGTAGAGAGAACCAGGACAGTGGGCAGGCTTCCTTGCAGTTTTTTCTATGTAAACAGTGTTTAATCTCCTCCCTGTCTCCCCCCAGAATGCTGGGTGCTGTCACTCATTGGAGAATTGAGGCTCAGGGGACAGAGGCGGTGCCGTGAGGGGGGACCAGCGCCCCCCTCCCCCACCACCTCACTGCACCCTTGGGCAGGCCTTTGATTTTTCAATGTCCCGGTTCCCTTCTGCACAAGACAGACCTGCAAAAGGACGGGCGTCGCCTCCTCATCTGGACTGAACTTGGGGAGAGTTGTGATTCTCGTTGTATCTGAGGGGTTCTCCATCAGACCAGCAGGTGAGAGAGAGAAAGAGAGAAAGAGAGAAAGAGAGAGAGAGAGAGAGAGAGAGAGAGAGAGAGAGAGAGGGAGAGAGAGAACAGAAATTTACATTTGCTTAGGTCAGCTATTTGATTTTCAAGAAGTTCTTCTGGGACTGCAAGTCTGCACCCTGTGGGGCAGGCCAGCGGCTGAGGCCGGGAGCGCCTCCTGGTGGTGGTCGGGCAGAAGGCCTCCCCTGGAAGCAGGGGGTCTGGCTTTGAAGGCCTCAGCCAATCAGATGAGGCCATACCTGTTACTGAAGGGCCTCTCCTTCCCTTAACTGTGAACTGGCTGTCAATTTCAGCCACAGCTACAGGATCCCGTCACAGAAACATCTAGACAAGCCTTTGACCACACATCCCGGCCCCACGGCAGCCACGCGACACGTCGGGTCAGCCGTGGCTGTGGGAGCTGCCTCCTGCACCCGGCGTCCGTGACACACCATCACGACTGTGGTGTGTGTCCCTGTGGACAAAAGACATAAGTTGCACAGGAAACTATGGCTAAGTATGTTCCATCCTGAAGACGGAGAGGGCGGCCCCCTCAGATGGCCTCCCACGGGGTCCCCAGGGCCCTGCTGCTCCACCCTGGCACCCACGTGCCCAGGTGGCGTCCCTGCAGCAGTGACCATGATGATGGGCCGTCTGAAGCTGGGAGGGGGCCACCACCCTCTTTCCTGAGGGTTTCACATTTTCAGCCTGTTCTGGGGCCGAGTTCCTAACTGCCCCCTGTTCAGGGGAGGGCCTTTCTCCTCACCTGGGCAGCCCCGCCTCAGCGCGTGGGGGCCAGCAGCTTCCTGCAACACCCCGACATCACTGGCCTCGCATTCATCTTGCTCCCAGGCCACTGCGTGCGGTATGGCGGTTCTCTGCACCCCGCTCTAGCCGGTGCCTCCACCTCCGTCAGCTCTCAGGGCTTTCACAGTTACAAAAACAAGAGACATATGATCTCAGTTCTAAATCCAGACCAGTACAGAAGTCATAAGAACACTGACATTGGGTGAGTCTACTTGTAAGTTCTTCCTTATCTTGTTCCTAAATGGGCTAGATTGCCAGAGGAGGTGATGAGTTCCCCGTCACTAGAGGCATTCAATCCAAGAGGCAGTAGTTCAAGCAAGATGAGGCTGAACTAAAATAACCCGAGGGTAAGAGGGAGAGGCTGCACATGGCCTGGTGCTCATGGCTCTGAGAGGTCAGCACAGGACGGGGTTTGAGCGTGGGGGTGAGGGTTCCCAGGACCTGACGTGCCCATGCACTTCTGAGTCCTCGAAGATGACAATGAAATCAGCAGAAGATCCAGATGAGGAGCTAAGATTTAAGCAGGTCCTGGCAGTGCCTGTGGCCCAGGGGAGCGAGCGCAGGCCTGGACGGGTGGGAAGGGCTGGCCCTAGCCCCTCAGAGAGGGTCCCTGTCTTTGTCCACTTGTCAGAAAAATCATGTCACTCCAGTTCTGTTGGCCACGGAGAACGTGGGGGTGGGAGGTTGGGACTTTCACCTGCACAGGGCAGACCCCTCTGCTCCCGGGGGTGAGGATGCGGCTGAGCAGGACAGATGCCTGGGCCCAGGAGCAGGAGCAGATCCTACCGCCTGCACCCCGAGGCCCCGCACGTCTGGCTCGTTCCTGCCGTGGCGGAGAGAGGCCTCTGGTGCTCAGGCCCAGCTCAGCACTGTGGACACCTGTTCCCAGGCCACCGAGAACCTGGCCTCCTGGTGAGCTGCTCTGGGGCTGGTGCTTGCTGAGGGTCAGGGGATGGCGAGTTAGGAGGGTTTTTTTTGCTGAAGCATAAACAGCAGGGTCCACACTGGTTCCGGCCTGAGCTTCACAGCATCCGACCCCCAAGCACAGCGCCTTTGACCCGACCACAGCGCCTTTGACCCGACCACAGCGCCTTTGACCCGACCACAGCGCCTTTGACCCGAACACAGCGCCTTTGACCCGACCACAGCGCCTTTGACCCGACCACAGCGCCTTTGACCCGACCACAGCGCCTTTGACCCGACCACAGCGCCTTTGACCCGACCACAGCGCCTTTGACCCGACCACAGCGCCTTTGACCCGACCACAGCGCCTTTGACCCGACCACAGCGCCTTTGACCCGACCACAGCGCCTTTGACCCGACCACAGCGCCTTTGACCCGACCACAGCGCCTTTGACCCGACCACAGCGCCTTTGACCCGACCACAGCGCCTTTGACCCGACCACAGCGCCTTTGACCCGACCACAGCGCCTTTGACCCGACCACAGCGCCTTTGACCCGACCACAGCGCCTTTGACCCGACCACAGCGCCTTTGACCCGACCACAGCGCCTTTGACCCGACCACAGCGCCTTTGACCCGACCACAGCGCCTTTGACCCGACCACAGCGCCTTTGACCCGACCACAGCGCCTTTGACCCGACCACAGCGCCTTTGACCCGACCACAGCGCCTTTGACCCGACCACAGCGCCTTTGACCCGACCACAGCGCCTTTGACCCGACCACAGCGCCTTTGACCCGACCACAGCGCCTTTGACCCGACCACAGCGCCTTTGACCCGACCACAGCGCCTTTGACCCGACCACAGCGCCTTTGACCCGACCACAGCGCCTTTGACCCGACCACAGCGCCTTTGACCCGACCACAGCGCCTTTGACCCGACCACAGCGCCTTTGACCCGACCACAGCGCCTTTGACCCGACCACAGCGCCTTTGACCCGACCACAGCGCCTTTGACCCGACCACAGCGCCTTTGACCCGAACACAGTGCGTTTGACCCGACCACAGTGCCTTTAACATGACCCCAGCACCTTTGACCC